CAAACTGTTCTTGGAAAAGTGTCTTGAACATTGCAATGGCATAGAGAGGTTTTTCAAGTTCAGACATCCGTAAATAGTTGAACTCAAACCTGAAAATTTCAGTTCTTCTAGGCTGTTCAGTATTTTAATTACTTATTTCTACTTTCTCGTAAAGCTCGTGACTTTATCAAATGAGATTGACTTTTTTGGATTTCAGTCGATTTAATTTATTTTTCAACTAACGTCTCCAATTCCTCCACACGATCTTTGATCTCCATCTTTTGTAGTTTTGCCACTTCATCTTTGTTACAGACGCTGTGGTAGGCCAAGACTTCGAGGAGCTACGCGATATTTCTGCAAAGAATAAATTATTGGCTAGAACAAATCAGCAGATTTAGGCAAATTTACCTGTTCGGATCGCCGGATTTTATCGTAGAGCTTCGCATGATGTAGTGCTAAGCCGCAATAGACGGCGAACATCTCGAAACTGTCCTCGTCGGATTTTGTGAACACACCTTCACGTTTGTTCACCATCTGTACCACACCAATAACACTGTAAAATGAGAACACTACAGAAGATTCAGTTCTGGGGTAGCCGTCAGTTGCTCAAAATGGGCCGTTGGGCTTATGCGTTAGTTTAATTTCTTTGCAGTTCTCAGAGTATTTTGAGTCGCTGGGGATCTGTTGAGATTAACAGTACCGTTGAAAGTTCTGGCGTTACCGCCTTTTTTGAGCCCGGTCTTTTCAATTCCTCCAAAATGCTCTTTGTCTTTATAATTGGTTCTATTTCTTCCCCACCATATCTGATTACTTAAAGGAGGAATTCACGATTAGAATGAAGGTCGAAGAAAGGGAAACTGACCTAGTTGAGGGACCCACGGACCTCCTGAGGGTGCGAACTGACGCGCAATTCGCATGGAAAAATTTGACCTCGGCGACCTATCATGCCTCAAAGCTGGCGGGTCCGGCGATCTCCGCCCACCGATCATCTGATCACTCGCCGTAGTTCAATACGTGGCGAGTGATTAGATAGCTGAGAGAGCGTAGTGTTGAAGAGGGCACAGCGATGAGTCGCATCAATGCTCAAATCAACGGGCAAGGAAGGGGTCCCATTTCTCGGGTTCTGGGCCGTTTCTCATGGTTCTTCCTTCTTTCGTGTACCACTCACCATCCCTAGGTTAATTTGAAATGGGTTGCTTTTTCATCGTGAATTCGTCCTTTAAATTCACCGTGATAGCGCGAGCTAGAGAATTATACGTAAAACTTCGAATATGAAGAATGTGGTGGGCGGCGAAATTCGAATCCCTGATCATTCATGATTTTGTGGTCTTTTTCCTTCCTATCCTACCAAAACTGCTGGGCCGCTTTCAAACTCTAGGAAAATTAGAAGAAAAGTAGACGAAAAAAGATTTACATTGGTTGGATAACAGGAGATTAATTGATCGGAGGGTTGGGAAATTCGGCCAAAAAGATTACACCAGGTGTTGAGTTGAGTATGAAGGCGGTCTTATCCACTGAGTTACCTTCCACGTATGACAATCGCATGCAGAGGCATGGTCTTGTGTGTAGGCCGGTTTTTGAGTCATTTTCGGGCCTTTGAAAATCGGTGTCTTCGTAGGCATCTTCGATGTTCAGGCCTTCACCCGTGGACGCCACATGACCAGCAATCCCTCGATCCATGCTGAATCTGAAATGCCAAACAAATCCCTTTCATTACCCACGACTACTCTTGATCGCTTCATATGCTACCCTTGTTAATTTTACAAGACACTTACCATTTAGTATACGAAAGTGGTTTTATTAAGACATGTATGGCCTACTCGTCGGGCCTCCGCTTACCACGATATGCGTCTATATCTGGGGGTGCCGGGGGGAAATGGAATAAAAAATTAGTCATTGTTTCTGTTTCTATCATTTCATGTATGGATCAATCACACTTTGCTGAATTCCAACCGAAGGCTGCCAACTTGGATTTGAAAAGCACATCCCATTTTATAATCAAAACCTCACGGGTTCTACGTGGATGGAGCACAAAAATCTGCCTCAGAAACATGGTGCACGGTCGAGCTCAACGGGGGTTCTCGCGATCGTTTGTACACTATCACTGTTGTCTTCTGAATGATCGAGTGTGTTCGCAATCACTTGCGAATCCTATTCATGAAGTACAGTCAATGGTTTTATAACGTCAGGGAACATCCACAGTGAGCGATTCAAGAGGAACCTGTAAGAAGCTTCCAGCAGGCTGGAGCATTATCTTGGTCTAGTCTCCTTGAACTCGACGACGATTGCACAGATAACGTCAATGACTTTGGAGATGGTGAACGCATTGAATGAAGCATGCGTCCTTACTTATAGAGTACATTCACGGAATATTTTGCAGTAAGACGACAGCACCTTTTGTGACAAAAAATCGCTGAAGTGCGACATTGGCAAAATGCCTTTTTTGGCCCCTGTACGTACACGTCTACTGGACCCTGCTTGAGTCGAGAGAACCCTTCGATTCTTCGCGATGTGCTATATGCCGTCTAACTTATAAAAAAACAAAATTCCGAGACATCAGTCGAAGACTCCACAAGTCACCATATTTGTGAAGGGTTGTGTTCAATGCGAGGTGAAGCCAGTTGCGTTTTTGAACGCGATTTAAACGTGACGCATCCCAAAGGTCTTGATCAGCATTGTACCTTGCCTTATTTTTTTCCACTACAGGGCACAACGTGGATTTGCTACCATTCTGTGGTAATCTGTAGCTACGCTCTGTTCCTTGTGGCGGGACCTGTCGCAATTGCAGATCTGATGAAATGCGTGACGACGGCATCTTAAAGTCGTCAGCAAAAGTGTTTCCTGATGCTTTTGATGCCATTCGATGCTCCCTGCGTTACCATACGTGTAGCTTTGGCGCATTCCGCCGTGAGGGTGTGCAGCAACGGTTACAAGCGAATTTTTTGTGCCATTTTTTGAACGATTCGCTTGAAATATAGATTCATTATCTTTTAACTTTTAAAAGATAAAGTTCTGCCTGATTTCATAGCAACTTTTGAGAGAAAGAAGTAATGCCTTACGAATGGTTCTGGCGAATACCTGAACTGTTAGTACACTCTCAATCGAGGATAGAGAAATGTGAAGACTTACCGAATCTCTTTATGTCCTTCTTTATTGATTTTTTCAAGTTCTTCGCCATCTTTGCCAACGTCAAAAATTCTAGCGTACAGTTCGTGGTTTTTACTGTCCACAAGGAATAACGACGCTCGATCCGCTTCAACCAATTTGGCCGCGAAATTCTGTAACAGTCCGTATTTATGTGTTCCCTTCACACGACATGTGACATTACCGTACCATCACTTTGATGATTACAGTATCCATTGATACAATATCTTGAAAAATGCTTTTCGCCACGTCCAATAGGAATGAATTCAGACGACGTTGCCTAGCGAAGACTTCTGAACTGCTTCCTGTGCGTTCCAATTGAGATGCGACCTGCCGATCAATAAGTATTTCTGATTTAGCAAATTACCGCAAGCTAATGCCACAAGTTACATAAGAGGAAAAATAAAAGGATTTTTACGTTCGAAATATTTTAGGGTTTTTAGGTGCAAACCTATTTGTTATGAAACAAATTGCGAGCCCTACCTGAGCATAATGGAGTGATCCTCCCGCCCATGTGCAAATTACGTTGATAATCTGCTTGTCGCGTTCGGAGACAGGTGAGTTGAAGTGGATCTCCCCTAAGATGTAGGATAGATCAACACTGGAAAGAACGCCAGCTAAGATGCAGCTCGGCGGCTTTTTCTCCTCAGGATCGATTGTATAGCGTTTCGTCATAGCAAAACATGGAACACTCGACGCAAATAAGAACCCCTTCAGATGCACCACGCAATCTTTCGCTATTTGGAATCGTAGTGCTAAATCAATACAATTTGGGGTCCACGTTAGAGTGAGGTTGCGCTGAATGCGATGCACAATCTAGTGCTTTCTTTTTTTTCAAATGTCTGGCACCAATTATCCGACACGGGGCATAGATGGCATGGTTGGTCCGCACAGAGCCCAAGCCTTGATCAGATTCCAGGTCTGTGCCAGTGACCTCGCTACACATGGCATCACTTGTTAGTCCACATAACCAAGAAGGCCGTTCAGGGATTGCCAAGCTGCTCCAAATGGTCTCACGGATGATATGGGGGACACTGCGGGAACCTCGGAGCCACGGTTCATTTTTACTAACTGGCTCCCTGAACCCGAAAAGAAAGGGTAAGGAAGTAGTCCCCGGTTCGATTCTTCGTGGTGTCAAATATTTGCACCTTGGGTGGGTGTTTCAGAAGTCGCGCAAGATAAATAATGATTGCAGTGTTTATGATCAGGGCCAACAGTAAGCCTTACAAGTAGATTCTGAGCAAACAACCGGTGGATAAGTTTGTAACACCGAAACGGCACCAAAACGGTACCCAATGACATTATAGCGACGTGAGATGAGCTCCGAAGTATAACCTTTATGGTCGATATTTCAGAGGTGATTGGAACTTCGGCTCAATTTCGGTCAATGGTAGCATGGGGGTAAATCGGTATCCCATCAGGCTTGACGGGATAGGATTTCACCCATGCGATAATGTGTCGGATAATTGGTAACCCGTGTGATAATTGGTATCAGACATTTGAAAAAAATGAAACACTAGCTTGTACATGGCATTTAGCGCCCCCTCACTCCGTGGAGGCCAAATTGCATTTTTGCGTGGTGCATACGAAAAGGTTCTTGCGCCGAGTGCTCCATGCTTTGCTTCATAACGAGCGCAGCTTTTTACACCTCGCTGATTTTTGTGAACTTCCAAAGCAATGGGAATCACATCATAGCATGCTACTCGCTGCACCTGATTTACCCGCGAGGAGCACGCCACCACACGGAGAAGGATAGTAATCTTTGATTTTTCAGCATTTTTTGAGTTACAAACTCATCAGTATACTTTTTTGGACACAGGATATCATATATTTGCATACTATGGTTAATATTTCCCGATAGATTATTGGCCACTGATAAAAACTTGACAAAAACCTACGGAGGTGCATATTATAACGGCGGTCCGCATGGGTTAAAAATTCGACGCTGGCCGTACCTAATACAGTCGAGATCCGATAGTTGGGGTAGGTGTGGCACCGGACGTGACGTGCACTTGATAGAGGCTACGTGGATAAGTTGCTTCCAACATACATCGCGGCATATCAGCAAAGCATGCTGGCAACAGCTTATCCACGAACTTCTATCAAGTACACGTCACTTCCGGTGCCACACCTACCCCAACTTTCGCATCGAACCTGTATCGTTTCCCAGTGCTCGACAAACAAAAGTCTCTCCGCAAAAACTACCCATACAGATGTTCCTTCCTGGAACGTGCGGTCTTTGGCACTGCTTAAATGCTGGCATTTTAGTCTGCCCACAGCGTCTTTACTGACTTTTCTATTGAAAACTTCGTTATATTTTGTTAAAGGAATCTTCCGCGGAAAAAGCTCCGCCTCCATTACCACAGAAAAACGATACCCCTTAGGCCCCTAGCCTCATGAGCATAGCAAAAAGAACGGAACATAAGCGTTAGTTTCGATAATACTAATCCTACACACAAGACAAAATGATCACTCTTTCCGTGGAAGATTCCTTTAAGGTATCGTTTTCTGTGGTAATGAGGGCGGAGCTTTTTCCGTGGAAGATTCCTTTAACCATTTGAAAGCAAAGCAAAGCTTTGACAAAATTATGTGTTCGTCCGAGCTGTAGGCTGGAGAAAATGTTATTGTTTATTAGTGCTGTCGATAGCGCAGCATTGCTGGATCCAGTGGTCTAATGGATAGTGTATGGGCTTTAAATGACACGGTAGGTATGATGCTTCTTGGTACGGTCCCCGCGCAACTGTTCTTTGCATTCTAGCCGCTGCCTCATGAAGAGTCCCAAATTGCACATAAGAGACGTCATATTCATGATCTGGGTCATAAATAACACAAATGAGTTTTCTGTGGTAGCTGGAGAAAAGATTTTGTGGCGCCAAAGGCACAGTTTTGAAAGCTTGGCACTTCCCTGAAAGAAATTCCTGGTAAGCCCTGTAAGCAGAGCTTTCTAGGGTTGTGTACTATGCTCTTGGGCATGAATGAAGAAAGGGTCCCTTGGAACTCACTTATCTTCTGTGAAACTTTGTTTACATTCACTAAGTTTTTACTTTTATATGGACACATGAATATGTTACCATACGCCCTTTCTGGTTGAAAAACGAATTTTACTGATATTTGTTCTCCAGCACGAGGTGTAAAAAGCTTCTGCACTGGAATATTTCACATTTATCGTGAACCACCTTATCGTCTTGGATCTTGTCTAATATTTCAATGAAGATCGGTTCCGAAAAGTCCTACCTATATTGGTTTCGTTGACATCCACTAACTTTATCATGTGCATGGGGTTTCTTCGAGGTCTTTTCACCTGAAATTGGATGAGCAATGATACAATTGATAGTTGGTATCGAATTTTCTTCCCTAAGCGGAGATGCAGTGCTGCTACGCCCGCTATTGATCCACTATTACTACCCCATAGT